TACCGTCTTACCTGTAATTAAAATTCAAAATATGCAAACATAAAACTTAACTTTGACTACCTAAAGATTTTACATTGGTTTACCTTGTAAAACTACCACCTCATTCATTTGAAATTAAAGGTTAATGAACCCACAATATATTATATCGATCAGTACTCGATATAAAGGAAATAAATTTATAATAATCATAATAATGCATACTTATTGGATAATAAATAATTATAGAGAAAACGGTAATAAAAGTAAATATCTGATTATAATAATGATTAATTAATTAAATTGATAATTATATTTAAACTGTAGTTAGCTATTCTAGCCAAATACTACTATACGGTAAACGAGTCGGTAATTGAATTTACAAAGATATTAAAAAGCTAATGGAGCTAAACGATAGGGGGCGATAGAGAAAAGGTAAAAAAATAGGTTGCGATAATTAAATTTACAAAGATATTAATAAGCTAATAAAGCTAATCGATAGGGGGCGATAAAGAAAAGGTAAAAATAAGATTCGATAATTATTAAGATGGCATGTGTAAGACACCCATAGGTAAGTAATTATACAAGCTTGGGCAGAATCCTTGTAAAGCCTCGGAAGTTTTCACAAATTTGAGCTCTGGAGCTACCAAACTGGCTGGAGACAACCAAATAATGGTTGAGGATCAACTTCTTACAGGACACCAACATTCCTTGAAAAGAGGGCCCAGATTTACTCTGAGATGCAGGACAGCATGGTCTCAAATTTGTCAATTTTCACTTGGATAAGTGCAGTCACGGATTTTTCGTCATGCCCAAAGTGCCTGAATGAATTGAAGGAATATAAGGACTCATTCATCAGAGAGAAAAAGGGAATTTACATACCTAAACGGCCGATAGTAACCTCACTTTCCAAAATCTTCACAAAAATAAACAATCGGTTGATTTTCCAGGAAACTTGCTAGTAGACACGATCAAGCACTCTTCTGGCTAGTCAATTTACAAAACTATGGACTCGATGGCCAAAAATAAAGACAGAGTTTTAAGATTTTTGAGATTAAAAATCTGGACGACCGTTTCGGTCCCAAGACAAAAGATAAAAGTAAAAAGGCCAAGTCAAAAGTTCCCAAATTGGTTCTGTCCTTTCTTTCTTCGTCTGTCAAGCTAGTCGAAATTATAAAAATGATAGAACTCTCGATTTAATGATATTAGGCTAGGAAAACTAGTCAGAAGAATCATAGATGTCGCTAGGTGTACGAAATAGTACTTTTAAATGGGTCCAAAATATATAAAAACTAGCTGACCCGGCGAACTTCGTACCTCCTCTGAATTATTAAATACCTATTAAATGTTGTGTTAACGTATCTATTAACTGAATTAAATTCAGTTTTTTTCGATGGTGAATTTGGCTTTGGTCGAAGAAAATTAATTTTTACTCTCTGGATCAGAAGTCACCGAAAATTAAAATTTTACATCATCCCTTTTTAGGCATCTTGTGGGCATTATTCTTATAAAGTGTACAACCAAATAAATAAACTCAGGCACTGGAATGTTCAAAAAATGTAAAGAAAACAAAAAAATCTCCAGCGCAGCCCTGTTTCATTTTATCTGCACTGCATGCACTGCAATACTCCATCTGTTCTACTGTATCTGCACTATTCTATCTGATCTACTCTTTCTGCACCACTTTATCTGATCGGAATAGTGGAATAGTTCTGTTCAGAATAGCTCCAGTTCCTTAGCAGTATTCTGTTCTACTGTATCTGCAATGAAATTACCGCGCAACGGCGAGCTTCGTTCTAGGTACCTATCATATATGGCGCCGTATAGAAAATGGTTGTGACGGACTCATAACCTGACTCCGAACAGTCGGCACGGAACACGGCTGTCAAGGGATGCCTAAGAGGAGAAACGGAACTTAGCCACAGAACGTCAATGGTCAAGCGTCAAGAAATGTCAAGTAGACCAGTTCGCGCTCTTTCGGAATGAACGAACCAACAACAAAATAAAATACACAATTAAAAAATTTTCATTCTATTTATTTTTGGACATTTTTACTGTGAAGAACAATTAAAAATAAAGTGCTTTTCTCAAATTGTTTTTGTGCAAAGTGTGTGACAATAAAATCCACATGGTTTGCAATGAAAATGTGACAGTAAACTTGGTATCGGTTATAAGAGATGGCGCCGTATGCGGGCTTAGTGAGTTTTTTTCATAAATAAGTAAAATAGATAAATTTTTTTTTGTTTTTTTTTTTTGGATTTTTTCGATTTATTATCCTAGGATGGAAGACAAATACAATAAAGCAAAAATCATAAAAATCAGTCCAGCCGTTCTCGAGTTATAAGTGCTCAAATACCAACACAACTGTGTTTTATATATATAGATAATTGAGAACAATACATATATTTTTGTGACATTTCAAATGTTACAGTGGACAGCGTTAAGAATGGGGGTTGTTTCATAAATTTACTGTGCAACCTTCCCAAAACTTACGTTATTCTTAAGTTGGGAGATGATCCTCCATATACGAAGTCTACACTCCCTATGTAGCTTTAAATACGCACTGATCAAAATGAAGAAGGAGCTACTTCTGAATATGTTCGTAGTTTTTATCAAATTTTTTATTATCTTCAAATATAGGTCTGTTCCAACGCGTCACAAACCGACCGTTCAAACTACTCTCTATACGAATTTCGAATTCTACGCACAAATTTCAGGCTTTGCGCAGAATCGTTTTAGTACATTCCACTGTTTCCTGCTATTTACAAACTTGTAATTTTTTATCGAATAAGCAAACAAACCGTGATAAAAACAACCTGTTTGGATTCATATGGAACTGCGTGTCTGCTGGGAAAACAGACATTTTTCTTTTCAATGCAATAAAGAAATTATATTAAATTACTCCAGTGGCTCCTATTTCGTTTTGATCAGTGTACAAGGTAAGGCATATTCAAACCCGACTAGTGATCCTGTCCTCTAGTAGACAAAGGATACGAAGACTTAACCACCACTCGTATACCTGATTTCTACCAGAAATTTCAAGAATAGAATGTCATATTGACGAAATAATTTCGAAAATTACGGAATTATGAAGTCCCTATCGAAATAAACATCCATTTCCAGGGATCTTCATCGGAAATTCCTAGGAGACAATTATCCAGAAAGATACAGACAGTCGATTTTTGTCTAGAGTGACAGTAGTTATAGTAATATATTTTTGTCATCCGTTGCGACAACCATTTAGAAATGCCTCGTTCCAATTCTTATAAATTGAAGCTATTAGTGCATGAAGGTGTTAAGTCACTTTTTAACAATTTTGAAATATTTAGGGTTAAAGTAAAATTGTTGGAGCTTTTTCTGTTTAAACTAAAATCAAAATCAAGATGCGTCAAAACACAGACAAGAAATGTTAATTTAATATTACGAGTCAACTTTTATCATTTTTTTTTTTTTTTTTTTCATTTTTGAATCAGTAGTTAACCCCTTCTTGCACAATTATAGAGAGTTAACACCTTCTTGCTCCAAATAAGTTCGACAAAACTTGAGTTAACGCGATTTAAACTTCAGTTTTCAAGGTACCTGGCAACATCTATGATCCAAAGTCTTTACTAACGCAAAGAATGAATTAACACCTTCATACATACCATTTTTCAGGATTTCAGCTAAAAATTGAGTTAACACCTTCATGCACTAATAGCTTCAATTGTAACTACCTCTGTTTATTCGATCTTTTCAATTCCATTTCAATTAGAAGGGGGCATATTTTTCTATCCGAAAACACTTTTCCAGTAATTGGATCTACCAGTATAACGTCAGCTGAATATATTTTGAGACTTTTGTACTGAGTAGCGACACATAGTCTTCCTCGACTTATACAAGCCCCGTAAAGTGATGATTTCGTAATGAAAAACCTTTTATGGTATTGTATTTTCTTATCGTTGGTACTATATGGAGATATAGTAAGTGCCAATTTCCGGGTTAGGGTGTCAATGTTTTTTTGTATCAATAAATTTGATAAAAATCAAGAACGGGAATTGTTAGGTTCTCCACTGATGTAGATACTGCAGGAAATCATCGGTCAAGACACAAACGAGTAAAGCCACTTTTTCAAAGTGTAAAAGTTTCTGTTCGAGAATCGCAGCAATGTGGTGAATTGAATAAATTAATTATAATGGAACCTAATCGGGATTTGGATGGAAGCAATTGTCCGCTGAAACCTTGTCACGTAATGTTTGCAAAGCTGATAAACAGCATTTGTGGTGGTGGAGCGAATTCGCAGCTTGGATAAATTTCCTAATGCCGGGCATAGACATTGGGTAATATATTTACCGAAACATTTGTCAAAATATTTGTCCGAATCCCTTTGATTTGTCTTCATTTACCGACAACCAAGCGAACACGGGCAAACTTGGGCCAGCCTCAGCCAATCTCAATAAACAGACCAAGCACACATTCGTGTTGAATAATGTTTGCCAGACTTCACCGTGTATACCCGGCATCAAAGAAAACTACTTTTGAATATTTTTCACAAGTATAGGCAATAGTAATAATAACACAGCTAGAATGGAGTAGCCACCGCCAATTTGAGCCTGTCTGGAACGTGTCCACCAAGTGAACTGTAATGTGCATATGAAAATATCTAACAACATTTAAAATAATGCCGCCAATACATCTATGAGAGTGATGGTTTTTTTAAGAAATTATGATATTATTATCAGGCGTAGGTCTAATAAATATTGTTGATTGGGAGAGGTGTTGAACGCGTGGTCCGTTGAATAAATTACTCATACTCAATGTCACAACCGATATTCATTTCGTGCTTTATTTTAGAATAATTTTATAGAGGCCGTTACGTCATCAACATTTTAGTTGTGAAAATTTGGAAACTTTCTTGTTTCCTTCGAAAATTAGTAATTATTTTGTTTTTTTTTTAAATTTACCTTTTACCTTTATTTTCTCAATTATACGGCTAGTGACCTAGGAAATATCATGTGTCAATAATTAATTGCTACTTTTCGTTTCAGGAATGCCTGGCAAGAAAAATACCATCATCTACGCTTGCTGCCCGGAACCATATGTGGATGTTACGTTTACCATTCAAATTAGGAGAAGAACGCTTTACTACTTTTTCAACCTCATAGTTCCTTGTGTACTGATTTCTTCAATGGCTCTACTGGGATTCACTCTACCTCCTGACTCCGGTGAAAAATTAACATTAGGTATATGCCTTAGACTTTCCGGCCAGTCAGTGTTAGCTTTTCCGTTTTGAGTGAGATCTGCTTTTGACACACTAGCTTTGCTAGTGCCATGCGCAGTTTTTTCTGTCTATTTCAACATTCTACACTGGCATCTTCATCATTATTGTAAATTTAGTTCCTCATCAAATTCCTAGAACCAGGCACTTCATATCTTACAACAATAACAGACTAGTTAAGAAACATACAAAATGTGTTATCCACATGATACAGATATTTCCCCTATGTGTTCAACGTGACGGCTCATTACGGACACTAAACACGATCAAAACTCAAAATCTTAATTTCAGGTGTCACGATTCTTCTTTCATTGACAGTATTTCTGAACCTAGTAGCCGAAAAGATACCGACAACATCAGACGCAGTACCGTTGATAGGTATGATAGGCCTCCTGGGAGCATCGTGTGTTTGACGCCCTGTTGTCCTGTTTGCTGGAATGTCCGTTGATACTTGGAGGGCATTTCGACTCGACATTTTTTAACCCCAACAAATTCAACTTATATACCATTTTAGCACGTAAACCCACCCACACAGCTACATCCTGTTTTTCCCATAAAACGCTTTTCTTTATATTCCGCTTAATAAGTAGATGCCAGAAGTAGATTGGTAAGTATTGTATCAGGCGCAGTCACTCTACCTTTTGCACCTTTTACCATTCAGTGCAGTAGCAAAATTTGAATTCTCGAGTTGTTTTGGAGTTAACAACACAAGACTTTTACCAAATTATAGTCTTGATTTCAAGACAACAAGAATCAGGAGTTAAAAAGCAAATATTTAGGTAATTGAAGTGTAGGACTGTGTGAACGTTGAGGAAGTTAATGAGTAAAAAATATTTGTATTTCGTGCAAAATTCGTTTAATAATATCAGTGCAAAGCGCTTTCGGCCGTAGCCATCTTCAGTGCAACCTGAAAGTATGGAAAAATTACTTTCTCAAGTGTCAAAATTACTTGAATAATATGAAAGTGAAAGTGGACTTGTTTAAGAGATCAGTTGAACTGATAAGTTATCTACTGAAGAAAGTTAATTTTTACTCACTTCGTCAGATTTGTACATGGAGTCATCTCATTGAACATAGAACTATGAAGAAACGAAGACATCACACTAAATTACATCACACTAGGTTAAAACGCATGATTGGGTGGGATAATGAAGAAAGCAGCCAATTTCTGATTATAACCCAATCATCATAATATTCGTCAAGCAGATCCAAAGTCTTTTGGGTGCAATGTGATTTTGCTCTATCTCGCGAAAGTTCATCATCATGCAATTCTTCGAAAAATGGTTGCAGTATAATATCTCCGTGATAGCGGAGCGTATTGATTGATCGATTGATTGATTTCCCTAAAATTTATATGTTTTGTTATCAAATTAGAGACTTTTCGCACCTCTTATTTTCAAATATGTTCCTTGTATGAATTATAAGGGACTGCTTCATATAAATAGGAATAACCTTGTGCTTGGTAAAAAATCAATTGAAATTATTTAAAACAAAAAATAAGTTTGGGTTATCATTTTAATGATCACACTAGAGCAGTCTTAACCACATCTTGCTGCTTTTTTCATGACCCTTTGTCTCACTGACTTGTTCATCCATCAAAATATGATCTCTATTAAATTCTCTACTAAAAAAAAATTGAATGAACAATGAACACGCAGGAATTATAAAAAACGTGACAAAATTCAACATAGAACATAGAACTTTTTCAAGCATAATAAATTTTAGGTTATGATATGATTGTTATTGATTTTTGTTCAAATTCCAAAGCACATGCGCAGACCACGCCCCAGAGGCAGAATAAAATAACAGAAAAATATAAACGTTTGGCGTTGGTCTCTTTTGACCCAGAAAAAAAACGAAAGAAACCAAACACCTACTTTTTCAGGATGCAAAGGCGTTTCAACTATTGCATTACGGGCGGATTGAAAAGCCCTTACCCCGTTTACTTTTGGGGCATGGTCCATAAATTTTCTTTTTTCGAGGGTAAAAACATTGAGGGGTTCACGTGAAAAATCTAAAAGAGAAGACCAAAAAATGCAGGTCAAAGTCAAAGAAGAAACAGTAGAAACACAGCGAAAACACTTGTAGGTTCTGAAAAAAACTGATTTTGTAAAACGACACAGAAACTCGAAAAGAAGTTAGAAAGTGGAGGATTGCCTGATCACAGCTTTCACCAGAGTCCAGAACTCTCATGGAATAATTTTTGTAATGGTAGGGAAGACATGCGTTTTTTTGTGACAATAGGGTAGTGGACAAGGTATAATTTCAATGAAATCGATGATCTATTCTTCATCTATGAAGTAAATGAAAGACATTCGTATTAAAAGAAATTTCAGATAAAATCACTAACTTTGTTTAAAACGGTTGTGAAAGTGGAGTTTTGGAACTCACTATTTAAACAGAAATATTTCGCGCCTTGATTCTACGTCATACCTGTTGTATTTGAGTATGAATTAAATCAAACCTACGTCCGATATTCGACACAAACTTACTCATTGGTGCAAAAAAGAGAGCTATATCAGCGTCTGTCCAGTATGTCGGGTATCATTACATCTAGGCGCACCCTCAACATAACCCCACTTTTTGAGAGATTTCCATTTGTCAATCAGTGCGCATTGAGTTTATCGGCATCTTTTTCTAAAAGCATGTAAAATATAAGGACGTGCAGACCGCGCTCTTGCTACTCTTATCATAACAGCTATGACGAAATTTCCGGGCGGCAAATTATAGTGTTTATAAGTACAAATTTGTTAATTTTTTTTTAAGTATATTTTTGTTTTCTAAAATCAAAGACTTATCAACTACTGTTTATTTTGTTATAACGATTATTAAAAAAAATATTTCAAAAAATTCTCCACTACCCTATTATCATCCGTAGGCGACCATCATAACAGTCATTGAACACCCGATATGTCGCGAAGCTGCTGCAAGAGATTTAACATAAAAAGAATAGCACAACATTATCAGAAAATACTTGCCATAAATTACAGCCTATTATCAGCTGAAAATTGTATCTATAAATTTCAGGTTTTTCAGGATAGGTGAAATAGCAATTATTAAATTGAAAAAAAGACACTCTTCAAAGTGCACTGCTATATTTTACCGGAACAAAACAGTGCGCTTCCACGACCTCTTATCGTATCTGAAAATAAATTTGTGAAACTTTCTGACATAAAAGTAATGGAGGTTTCAATTTTCTACAAAAAAGGTGACCCATTGTCATAATAGGCACCGTACCTATAGTTTTTGAGAATGCTGGTGAAAGCGCATCCTACTGTGCCCCGAGTCTGTAAATTAAGACTCGGGACAAGTTTCTTTAACATTCCCAAAAATAAAATGTCTCATCAAATATATTGTAGTGTGGACGGCCTTGTGTTCCTATTTCCTGGAGTATAGTGGGAACACTGAAACTCGACGCATTCCCAAAAGTAAAGTAATGTAGGTATGTAAGTATGTTAACCACTTCATGATTTAAGTTCCAACCATAGTGATGTTCTACAAGATTGATAGAAATGTATCCATGAGCTTCCTGATCATAATGCGCAAAACAAAATGTTGTTTTGTGATAGGTTCATCCAATTGCTTTATCGAAATATTATGTTCACCAGACATGTGTTTCACTAATTGTTCATAAAAGTAGTTTAGTTTTTATATTATTGTAAATATTTTGTAGTAAAAGTGTTGTGTTGCTAGCTAAAAATCAATTTGATGTTTCTTGATAATTACTTCTGCACTATGGGCATAATCTAGTTAAGCACCTGGAAAGGCTACCCCGCCCACTTTTTCTTCGCGTAATTAAGATGTATTCTGTTGCAGGCGTGACGATCTTGCTCTCATTGACTGTGTTCCTGAACCTCGTGGCCGAAACTTTGCCCCAAGTATCTGATGCCATTCCCTTGTTAGGTACCAAACCTTTTGTCTGACCTGCCTGTGCTGGCTACTCCTCAGTGCTGCCTGATTTGATATTTTTTTTGTGTCATTGTGTATGTGATTTGTTGTGTTCGCGGGCGCGTTTGTATCAAGTCAGCTTCAAATGGTCCTTTTAGCGCGATCAAAGAAGAAATGTTTTAAATTGTGGCAATGGTCAAGCGAAGTGCTGTTTAAAAGGTCGTCGATTTGAGGAAATTACTTCTGGACGTGCCGCAAACATTTCCTCTTTGACTCGTGACTATATTGGGGGTGAGCCGGATACTTGGAAAGAAGGGCCGCTATGTAAAATAACTTGCGGCACACAGGTCGCAGGTCAGACGCCTTGTGTGACGCACTATCTGTTGCAGGTATAACCATTCTATTGTCACAGACAGTGTTTTCCTTGTTGGTGGCTCACGTGATCACCCAGACGTCCGAGGCTGTGCCCCTGATAGGTTAGAGTCTCGGATCAACTAATTTTTATAGTTCGATTTTATTTGCAAACACACTGACGGGCACCGCAAAAGGCGTGTACCCTTTGGGCGACTTCTTTGCTTATTTTATTTCTGGCCTTGTCGGGTACGCACCTTGCATGTATCAAACAGCACTTCGCCCAGCCTCAGCTACAGTCTACACAACTAGTCGTATGGAGGTGTATTTATATGCTCATGTTAGTACTTTTTCAAACAATAAGTAAAGAAAATCGAATTTTTTTTTTCAAACTATAAATTCACCACAATTTTCACGACTAGTGCTTCTCTTACTATGTTCGGGTGAATGGGTGGCTACTGCGACCGAGGTTAAACTAATTTTTATATATTTAATACCTATTTAATTAAAGCAATTCTTTTTGACTTAGGTATATGCCAGGAAATTAAATTAAATAATTTTAGGTTTCATGTCTAAAACTTCAAAGTATTTAAAATAAAGGGTGAATTATTAACGTACATTTAGGAAGTATTTCTCTAGGGCTTTAACACTTTTTTCAATTGATCATAAATAATAGACGTTGAAAACTATCATTACCTAGTTTCGGCAATGGGATCTACTTTCCTC